GGAGGAGCTGCAGCTGGTCCGAGAGGCCCTGCGTAGTCTGAGGGACGGTTTCTCTGGCCATGACCCCCAACACCACACGCTGGACACGTTGGAGCAGGGGGTGAGCAGCCTCATGGACCGGGTACACACTCTGGACAACCAGCGCAGACAGGACCGAGGGGTACTTACTCACACACACCATGTCGGAGAAAATCTTAACGCATCTGTCACCTAATGAGTGAGTCGACAACAAATCATGCTTACCATGGCTCTTCTTCCAGGAGGAATTTAAGTCCCCGGGACGCAGAGCCACCTCGACAGAGCGGGATTCCTGGCCGCAGAGCTCAAGTGAGACAAACAGAATCCTTGTTGTTTGTTTGGGATTTGTCATCCTCTGCAACACCTCAACTCTGTTGTAATCAAATTGTGCCATGCAATTACTCTGCTATTTATGGAGTGGGCATGATTGGCTGTGAGGCGAGAGCCATTTCAGACTGGTTGTGAAAAACAGCATTTGTTGTGTTTGTGATTATTTCCAGAAATGGCGCACTCACACAGCAGCCCGGGACTGGACACCGCCATCTCCACTAAAGTGCTCTACTTCACTGATCGCTCGCTCACTCCGTTTTTGATTAACATCCCAAAAAGGTGAGAAGAAACAAACAATTTATAACAGGTTTATGTTACGTTGTTGTTTTTTTCCCCTCACTGTAGCATGCATGCATTTTAAGCAAATTGCTGTGTTCACCGAGGACACATGGCTTAATCCAGGCATGACTTGATCTACATATAGATGCTTCAGAATCTTTGCTGTAAAATGTAAATCCTTGTCAAGCTTAATGTCCATGTGGGTGTATATGTGCATAGATCATGACTGACAGTGCGCTTTCACAGGCTGGGTGAAGTGACACTGCGAGACTTCAAGGCCGCGGTGGACAGACAAGGCAGTTTCAGATATCACTTCAAGGCCCTCGACCCGGAGTTTGGCACCGTGAAAGAGGAGGTAGGCGTGGGAGGAAAATTATAGCCTCTACTTCTTTTCACATCAACGTCAGCAGGCAAATATAAAATGGCAGTTATAGAGTAAGATATGCTAATAATAGCCGCGGCTGTGCTATACTTCAAATAACACTGCAGGGGGACTGAGTAGTCATTCTCACTTTCAATCCAGACCTTTGCTCGTTGTAGATGTGAGTGGTTCTTAGATATGTAAATGATGGATGTTGGCGCTTCAGGTATTCCAGGACGGAGCAGTCGTGCCGGGCTGGGAAGGGAAGATTGTAGCGTGGGTGGAGGAGGACCACGGAGAGAAAAGGTAGAGCCAAAAGCCACAGAACACCACTACAAACCTCAGTTGTTGCCACTGGACCAGGATCTCACTGAGAGCACTTGTGATGCCATAATAGAGAATACTAATAATACAATTAACTTGGACCAATGGGTTTAACACCAGTACGATACCATGTTTTAAATGTGAATGTTTCATATGAATAATCTGTTCTTTGACATTTAGTACCACTTTTTTTTATTTTGAAGGTATGAATATTATACATTTTTGCAGTTTCTAAATGAATTTGTAAGACTAAAAATGTATGGTCATGTAAGTGATGTGATCCATGAATATTTAATATAAAAGATTGCTTTTTTTGAATTTACAAATAACACATCAGGACCGGTGCTCTTAAAAGCTGTAAACGTGCATAATATGCAAACCTTAAAATAAAAATGTTTACTGACATTTTCCACACGTTCCAGATTGCCAAATAGTGATGTTGATGTTCTGCATCAATTTTGATGTTTTAATAAACATGAATTATTGCAGCATGGATAATTTTGTTGTCAATTATTTAACGTGCCTAGAGTAATTATATTGTACTCCAGCTCAAAGCCATTATACACCTACACTTATACACCCACACATTAAAAACAAAAGCAATAGATTGTAATTAATGTCAATTAATTGTTGGGGGTTAAAAATGACGCTTGCTGCTGTGTATCAACCCACACAGCACAGGACAAAGTGACACATTCAGCAATTATTGTTTTCATCTCAGTCTTTTATAAAAGTGTGTGGCAGATTGGTTGTGTTGTCAGCATAACCTTTCAGCAGGACTGAAATGGAAGTACTGTGGACAATATATCTATTTCTTTCTGCACTGATGTAACAGGAAAATGATCTAGCATCTAAGAGTAAGCCATTCTGAAGCTGAAATCCTCCATGGGTTTAAATTGGATCAGTGGACCAATAGAGTTATTTAAATACACACATTGAATAATTCAAAAACTATCATGCTGTAACACATCTTAATCTGATAATATGATATTCATGTGTTTTAAATATATTTCTAAAATGTAAAATTGAACTATAGATACTATTTTTTTTTATCTGTGAAAGCCAGATTCTTTTATCTATCTCAGTAAAAAGTATTTTTGATTCCTCCTAAAAATATTAAGAGAAGTACAAAATAAGGACAAATTGGCAAATCCCAGAAATTCACAAGTAGAACGAAACAAAAACAAATCATGGATAAAAATATGAGAGGGCTTTTATTTGTATATATCGTTTCCTGCACAAAGCCAGATGGATTTGGAACAGATCAGTTTACAGGGGAGCTGTCTATTGTTTTGAGGTTTTTCAGGCTTTTCAGATTGCATACTGTAGCATGAATTCAGCTTGTTTGGGTTATTTGGTTTGAGGTAATCTCAATATCAGAATGCATTCCTAGCTTCACAGTTTCTTCTGCCCATTTCCAGCACTACTCACCTCTTCTCTTCATTATTAGTTTCACTATTTAGTCAAATTGTCATAAAAAAACATCCACTCTCAAAGTTAGCGTTCGATTCTTCTTATTAAAAATGGCCGATGCAGTGTCTTCAATAACAGGTTTGGGGAGTTCTAGAAGCAAATAGTAGACATCCTCCACCTCCAGTAAGACGTCGTCCTGTAGACAAATAAAATCACCGCTCAGTTTTACTCACAAAAGTAGAACGATAACCGCAATGTATTTACGTTATATTAATGACAACCCACTACGCACTGACACGCATTGGATTTTAAAGTTGTTCATAACTGTTCAAAGGAGTGTGTAACCGGTTACCTTGGAGATTGTCAGCTGACACTCGGACATGGAGCAAACCTTTGGCAGATCCAATGTGATCTCCATGCTGCGAGCAACCCCTTCCTTATCTGTCTTCACCTCGAGCTGGTACTCAGGCTTCTGAGGCTGCACAAATGTGGTGGAGATGACCTGGATCAAATCCATATTTATTTGCTCTGCAGGTCTGAAGTCAATTTGGGCTCCAGAGTCCTGGTGTTGTTTCTCTGAGCGTAGAGCAGTTATTTGCTGCAGGAGGTCAGCTGGGGTCTGACTGGCTGTAAAAAGAACATGATAGATTATTAGGAACTTTGGTAGAAGGTGAAAGATAATACACCTGCAGCGGCAAAGAAAAATAGATCCACAATAAAAGGGCTTGTGGCGGCTTATTGGGTATAAAACGTTCTGCCCTACCTGTGTCTGTTTTACTGGAGGTGTAAGGCCACTGCCGAAACCCAAGGCGGCGGTGCAAGTCTTCTGGGTTACTCTTTGGGCTACAGCTGACGACAGTGTACTCCTGAGATAACCTCATCCCATGATGCTGCTGGGCAAAGCTCAGGGTCAGCATGTACACTTCTGTTTTGTCTTTCTTACTTTCCTGTAGCACTGCAGGGTTAAATGCCACATCCAACACAGTGCAGATGCCTGGAAAAAGAAAAACTATAATGTATTTTTTTTTCTTTCTAGCGAATTCGATTCGGTAGCTTGTGATGCTGCACAACTTTGACTTTTACTCTGACCTTCATTCTGGTCTGTTTCCAGTTTTCCTGCACACACAGGTAAAGGCCTGCTGGGATCCTGAGGTGCAGGCACACGTTTCCAGCTGCATATGTTGATGTACAGTGACCCTTTCTTTGGCTCCTGTTGAGAACACAGATGTAACACCTGTCAATACACACCCTATCTCTAAACTAAAACACACACAGGGGTGGCAGCTTTTCTATTAAGGGATAAAAAGTAGAGTAGAAGCAATGTTCACAAGGGAAAAGTCCATTCCCGTTTTTTAAGCTAAAATAATGCAAATAATTACCAGTTAAGCTTCGGCACAAATATTATTTGTCAGTTTGTTCTCAATCTTGTGACAGTAAAGTGAATAGTTTTGGGTGTGATACTGTTGGTTGAACAGAACAATCCATTTGGAGATGCTTAAATGGGCTATGGGAGTTTGTGATGGCCCCCTTCACTATTTTGTTTATTTGAAGATTAGCCTACTCAATAAATGAAAAAATAATTGTTTAATCTTATCTAGTAATTTTTTGATTATATAGTTTAAGCTATTTTAGATAGACAGGTGCAGTAGATGATACACACTGACCTTATTGAGCATTGTCACAGTGGACACACATTCACTTACAAAAAAAAGTGTAACTTAGTAAAAGCAATACTTTTTTCTGTCAATGCCAGGCATTACACCAAATGATGTGACCATTATATTCTGTGTCCTTTTCACATATAGGGTAGGCCTACTGCTAAAATGTTGATTGAAACAAGTTGCCAGCAATAGTACAAGTCATAATCAAGGAGAAACTAAACTTATCGTTTTCCTTAATAAAAAGTTGAAAGGCACAGATGCGTTTTGGAAAGAAAGGAATACATTCATGTTTAAAGCGTCAGCTGTGGCTTTTTATTTGGGTCATTTAATTTGGTTCCACACCTGTGATATAGCTCACTTACCTGGTTGGCACGGGTCTATTATTAATGAGAAACACCTGTGCTTTCCCTGCTGTGACGCACTGTTTGTCGTCACAGAGCATTTTACATTGCAGGTTTGGTAGTTAAATTTATCTTGTGACCGTTCATTTTTAAGCTAATGCAAACGACGTAACTTACCAGCATTTCAGTGCGAATACAGGAGTCTAGCTCAGGCGGTGCACTGAATCCAGCTCCTTCTTTCATCTGCTTCTCTATCAACTCGCGGTATGCTGCGGGGTCATTTTGAGAAAGATCATCCAGGATGGACCAGAACTGGTTGACTTGCTGTAAAACATCCCCTGTGCTGCCAGACATCTTGAGGTGACTAACTTTGGAGTTAGCAAACACTAATGTTGAGGCTAGCAAGCCACTAAAGGTAGCAAATATTTGAATTTAGAACAAATAGCTTGTCTACAGTATAATATATTAGTTGTGCTATTAAATTAGGCTCCAAATGTGAAACAAAGATAAATAAAACACACTTTGGTTAGTTCAAGTCTGCCAAAAGTCTAACGTGTCTTAGCTAATGTTGTTAGTTGCTATGGAAACTGGTTACTCAGAAGCCGCCTGGTGGTCAGAGGCAGAGTTGCAGCTCAGTAATCACATCGGACACAGTTTAATAAGAGGCATAATTTATATTCAATACATACAAAAATTAACGTAAATATGCATAATGTCTTTTGATTGTCTTAATGTGTACATAATACAACGGACATTTAAAGTAAAAGTATCAACTCTGTTTTTCAAATGTCTCAAACATCAACAGCATCCTTTGCTTCTTCTTTCTGAGCCTCCCTCAGCCCTCAGTAAGTCTGCAAAAACAAAGAGTCATTATAAGCAAGCGGTTTATTAACTGTACTTATATAGTTTACTGTTATTTTCTAGATGCCAATACTACAGTATCTCAATGCTGGCGGTGTATACAATTGATTATTGAGTGATATGACTTGAGTGGAGTATAATAACAAATATCCTAATTTATTAAGCAAAAATAGCATTTTGAAAACTCCAATTCAAGTAAAAGTCCAGCATTAAGTACAATTAGTAATAGAAGCATCCTCAGCAATGTAGTATCAACATTAAATGTACTTATGTGTCACCAAATGAAGGGGAATATTCTTATATCTGATGTGGGCCTACTGCTACTACTGAGCTGCAATGATTAGTTGATTAACCAATTAGTTGATAAACAAAAGCAATATATTATTATTCAACAATTAGTTTCTTAATGTATTACCTTACCAAATAATAATGTTGAACATTTGCCAGTTCCAGCTTCCTAAATTAAATGATTCTCTTATTTTTCGTTTGTCTTGGTAGTTAAATGGGCATCTTTGTTGGTAAAAAAAAAAAGCAAGAAGCATTTTGACAATGTCACCTTGGACACTAGGACACTTCTAGACTAATTAATTTGTTGAGGAAATAATTTGCAGATTATTCGCACATCTAAAAAGCCTGTTTACCTCAATCATGTCGTAGATCCAGCCCAAGAATTCAGCAACGTTGGTGTAAACCCCTGGATGGTTGGGCTCAGCACAGCCTGTCCCCCAGCTGACGACCCCTACCAGCCTCCATACATTTTCATCCTGGCAAACCAGAGGACCCCCACTGTCCCCCTGGAGAGGTAGACACAAACACTAAACTCACCCAGCTTTCATCATGCCAGGGTTTTACCGTAAACAAGTCACATAAAAGAGGATGAATCTTTAAAACGCCTCTGCAAGCCAGTCTTCAAAACATAACTCTGACCTGGCATGCATCCACTTTTCCCTCTGTGTATCCTGCACAAAGCATCCGTGGTGTGATCTCTCCATTGTACATGCAGGAGCTGTTGCAGTTCTTTGTGCTTATTATGGGAACAGGCGCCTCTTTCAGGGTGTCAGGTGAGTGAACTGAGTGAGAAGACACAGGTTTAATGCTGCTCTGTCAATACACCTGGCACACTGTCATCATGTGTGAATTAGACTTGCAGCAGATGTAAATTATTTTTAGAGCAGTACTGCCTCACCACCGTCAGGCTGTGTGTATCCCCATCCAGAGATCCAGCACTGTGTTCCTCCTGGAAGATCATAGTCGTACTGAGGCAAGCAGACGGGCCCAATTGTATCTGGTGTCAGAATAATTTACATAATTATTCTGACAGGCTGGAACATGATAACTTGGTTTATGATTTTTGTATTCAGATATGTTTTGTAGTTGTAATGGCTTTTTATTCAACACTGTTTGAGAGACCAGACTGGATTTATTTCCCCCTGATGGGGTTTTGTCTTGTAATAGGCTCCCTCAAGTCTCCCTTTACTGCGAATATGTTTGGGTACACAAGCCATTGTTAAATAGGTCCCATAAGTCTTCCTCAACTTGAAATACTATTTTTCTCATGTTGTCGCTTCCCTTGGTTATGCAGAATGATGAATGTGCAGAGTTTTGACACTCGAAGGCTGTTGTATCCACTCCATGGGGAAAGTTTCTCTGTGCTCACCTTAAATCTCATTTAAAAAAACTTGTACAGACAGGAGAGATTTCATAATATGGAAGCCGATCGTTGTCCAATATGCAATTCACAGGAATGTGGTGTGAAAACTTCAGGCCTCCAGTACACTTAAACTGTAAATAGATTCTCAGTGAAGTAGTAGACATCTTGTCAAGTGGTTAAACTTTGGAAAGTACAAACATTTGCACATTCATTGATTCTGGATTTTTAAATGAGGAAGGAGTAGATCTAATACTTTTTTTTTTCGAGATAATTGATACCCTTTTATGGTTCAATAGAGGCTTGTTTTCGGAAATTTGTCAGGATAAGAAAATAAACAGTAAACTGAGGTCGAAGCATTGACATTTTGTTGTGTGTTTGAAGCACCGCTATCTCTTTTGTGTTCAAAGGTTTCAAAGAGCTTCACAGACTGACCTGAGAAATTTAAAGGTGTCCGCAGTTTCAGAAGTGCTATATCACTGTCGTGGCTCCTGTGGTTATAGTTCTTATTATAAATGATCTTCTCCACCGCATATCCTGTGTGCTGAGCCATTTTCGCAGAGCTGCGGGTGACAATACCAGCATAGACCACCCAGCTGGACACCTGAGGTAGCCTGTAGCTAACATTTGAGAAAAGAAGCAAGGAAGAAGACACTGATAAGAACCGTCGTGTGTCCAGTGAGGCGCAGCTGCTAATGACTGATTATTCTCCTTCTAGTCCGTAGCCCCGGCCCTTTAAGTGCTGGAAGGTCAGCTGTCTTACTTGTGCACACAATGGGCAGCTGTGACTACCCATTGACTGGTGATGATGGAGCCTCCGCAGGTGTGACGGTTGCTGTAGTAGAGGCTGACCTGCCAGGGCCACCTGCCCAGCGTGGCCTCGACCCCCCCGATTATCCTGGGCAGCTTCGCTCTTGTCCCACACTCTAAACAGAGATCCATTCATCAAGGAGTTGGATTGGTCAGAAAGCACAACAGCAAATGGCAGCATTCACAAGCTTTATTTTTATAATGGAACTTCGGGGTGTTGGATTTAAAATCACACAAAAAGAGTTAGGTTAATTTGCTCACCGAAACATTGCAAAGCGATAACCTTCCCTGTGATGCAGTTCCCCCTAAATGAAAATAAATTGTGTAACTAATGATGCATCATTCTTATGCAGTAGCTTTCTGCTTCATTACCAGTATGATGTCCTCAGACAAATTGCCTTACCTGAATTCCCACATATTTTCCAGATTGCTCTTGTGCTCCGAGGTAATTTGTATAAAGCCATCAGTAAAGTTTGGCCCGATATCAGTTAGATTCACTCCTTTATGCTTGGTCAGTCTGGTAAGAGAACATATGCAAAAATGGTGGGAATGAGTGTTCAGATCATTCAGACTCATTGAGGCAAATTTGCAAATGGGGTATTGGAAAATCATAAATAAGCTGGGACTTCAACCTTGGCATAGCCGGCTTGGATTAAAACTATAAGTTAATGAGTGAGAGCTGCAGTCCCAATCAGTGTTAAGGGTGTACGATTATGTCCAAAGTGAAAAACCTCAAATGGCCGAGCTGTCTGCAGACCAGCGTTCCCAGTGAAGAGTTCCACCTCTCGTAGCACACTGGCAGCCAGGTGGGCAGCTTCCCCAGCTGGATCTCCAGCAGGGAGTTCTCCGGGCTGATTCTGTAAAACACTGAACCTGATTGATTGAAAATCCCTCCAGAGACAAGCTCTCAGGCAACAGTAATGAACGAGCGTGTTTTATAAGTGGGGGATGATTAGGAAAAACACAAGTATCTATGCTAATACAGTCAAGGAGATCGTTATGAGTGATGTTTTCATGTCAGTCAATGGGCCTGTCTCAAGAGTGAACAACAAGATGACGTTATTGATTGATAATTTCACAGCTATTAAACAAAAAATCAAAGCAGCCAGCACACATTCTGCAGTGTTTAATTCATGGATGAAAAGGGGAGGAAACACAGACCTTTCCTGGGGTCAGAGATAGAAATATCTTCGGTTACGTTGCAGAAAGACGTCTCCTTTGTGTCCCCAAGTCCCACTGGACTTTGGGAGTAGGAAGGCTTCAGCAGAAGTTTGACTAGATGAAGATGTAGGTAATTAGACTTTTAATAAGCCACTGACAGAACAAACATGAAGTGTATTGTTTCGACTAAATGTTAACGGATGTTCTGAATTAGAACCTCAGAACAGACATTCATTCGAAAAAACATTTGCTAGTTTTAAAAGCCTCTCAAATAAGAGAAGGTGTTGCTTCCCCTTCAACTACAATCTTTTAAGATCATTTTAGTTGCACCTTCATATACACATTTTCAGTCCTGTCAAATGCTGATAATAAACGCCCTTAAAAATCTGCCAAGCTCTGAAGCTTGAATAGCTGTTACAAGACATGTTGTACTTTTTTCCTGGTTACAGTTAAGCTAATTTACTGATTCTATCTCAGCACAAGGACTCACCTAGAAACCAGACACCTACAGCCAAGCCTCCCAAGAGTCCGACAGCACACACCGCCGCCAGCAGCCTCACTAGCCTCTGAGCTGTAAAGAAACAATTAAGACCTTTCATGATGCCTGCTAAACCTGAGAGAAATAACTAAATGTCAACGGTTACATTCAGTATATAGAACATTAACAAACAGGACTAGATTATTGATAAGCTAAATTCTATACTGCACAACACTTAAGAGTTGAAAAGCAAATCTATACTGTGACATTTCAATCCAAAAGCTTTATTTCTTATCAATGAAGTGTAAAGGATTGTATTCAGTGTCTTTTGTTTTGTTTTTGTACTGGTGATGCACGACTGCTGTTGTAGACTGTCGCCCATCAGCAGGTGCACCACTGGAGCTTACCGTGAGTCGTCGGGTGAATCCCTTTCAACCAGCCCTGCACTCCCTTGGGCTCCGTCACTCCTGCAGCTTTCTCTGAATGGAAGGGATGGCTGACAGCTGCCGGGTTCTCAATCACTGATAATGTGTCTCCATCAAAACTCTAAAACAAGTCAAGTTAGCCAGTCAGACCTGATAACAGCTTGTTTTGTTAAAGTTTTTTGCAAATCTGCTTACTTGTAAAATAAACTACCCGCTGAACATCTGCTCCTCAGACACAGTGCACTTGACTCTGTCAGATTTAATTAGGAGTTAAGTAAACATGAATATTATCAAGACTGCGCAATCCGGATGTATGAAGTCAGAGCTATAGGTGTGTTTACTAGATCTCCTCAACATGCATGATAGCAATTAGCATGTTAAAGTCTTTGGATGTCTGTTTTGAGTCTTTTACACATGCTACACAATACTTGTTATCAAAAAAAGCTGTTTCTCTCTGGAGTGAGAGTGTTTTGGTTGCGATTACTCCTCAACGAGCAGCTGTTTCTAAAAGCAACATATTGAGAGTATTACGGTAATTATAAAAAAACTCTTCATCGACGTGAGATGCAGACTTGGTATTATCATGTTACAGTACAAAATCCTCCTAAATAAAAGCTACACCATCTGCTCTCTTGTATTAACTCTAGGGTGTAGCTACACATATCATTTTACATTTGGAATTAGCATTAGTTTCTTATAATGCAAATGAACACTTGACACATTCCATGCAGCTGTGTCATTATAGGATGAACCTGAATCATTTCAAAATAAACCAGTGACAGGAACATGTGTGATACAAGTTTGAAGTTAACGCTACATCAGCAGCTGTTACTGTACATTGTGATGGTGAAAGTAAAGAGGTGTCAGGATTGCATTAGACAGATGGAGCAAGTGAATATTTAGTCTCCCTTTCTTACCATGTTTTCCTGTCGTATAGTCCTGAGGAAAAGGCAGCGGTGTCCGTGCTCATCTGCAGGCCTGAGCTGGAGGTAGAGAGCTGTGTCCCTCTCGTAGTGGATGCACCATTTAACAGAATGCAACTCTGGATTTTCCCTTCACAAAGAGACAATGAGGTCAGCAGTGGAGCAGAGAATGAGGCTGTTGTACGTCCAGGGGGGGTCACGGGGCCTGTTGAAGCAGGCTGAACCGGGTCTTTGTAGGGGGGGGGAGCATCTCCAGAGATACCTCCAAGCTTAACTATTGATAGGACACCGGGTGTTGCTAGGTTACCCTTTTTACCCATGCCAAAAGATTGGCCATTTGCACCTGAGACATTTTATTACCTGACAGTTTGTAGGTTCGGCGAAAAGGTCATTATTGCAGATTGTTGAAAGTCTCATATCATGTCAATCCCCGTCATTTGGAATCCAAAGCTATCATCTCTCAACACTCAGAAACAAAATGAATGTTTTCTGTCTGCTCGCTGACAGATGAGACTTTCTCTCTCTCCACTGCTCGCAGTCATACGCTTTCAATATTCCTTTTCTGCATTCAAAATGTCATCTTTGTTTTAAGTGCTATGAAAAAGGAAGCGTGAGTGGCAGCATAAAGCAATCATTAACTCTAAGAATAGTAAGAATAATTAATAACTGAGATGTGCTCTTTGAAAAAGGTGAGAGGCTTATTCAAGGGAGATCAAAGCCTGTGTTCACGTCGCCTCTCAGACGAATTATTGATATATTCAAATTAAATTAAATGAATTATTTAGGCCAGGTTAAATAATATGTAATACAAAGGTTGTTTATGTATCTCCTATATGCATGGCGCGGGATGAGTCAGAGTCCAGGTGATGGGAAAAAATGCCAGGAAGAAAATTCCTCCTTGTCCAACTGTCAAGGCCAAATCTGAGAAATGGCTCAGATCTGTTCCACTCATGTAACAGGTGCCATGGAAATATTTGGAAATCAAACATGGAGAAATGACCAATGCACGTGAAAGAGCAGCATCTGAAATGAGTAACACTAGGGTTTGTGAAGTTTATAATGTTTGATAATCTTAGCAATGGGCTCAATTGTTCTTCTGCAGAAGCAAAATGAAGAGCATCGACAACACAGCTGCATCTCTTCCTGGGACTTGTTGTCTCCCTCTTCTGGTGAAATGTATTCTCCCAGAGAGTCAAAAGTGGTTCACAGAGCTGCCATTCACTTTGTTAGAAATCAATGGGCAAAGAATAAGAGCATTTTCATTCAAGGACATGCATGTAAGGTTCTTCTATCAAATGATTATTTTTATCCTCCATCAAAATGTTTTGACGTTTAATATATAGTCCCAGATATGAAGAATGTGCCTTGGCTAAGTATTTTAGTCACACAAGAAGTTAATGTTGTGTATTTATCCTTTTGTAGATATTCTTTAACACTGTTTTTCAGTATTATAACAGTAATCTATAATTGTCTGGTCCTTACTTTTTGTGGTTGCTTATGAATATAAAAAGTATTTTCTCAGTGTAGGAGTTACACCTGTAGCTTAAGAGTAAATTCAGTCTAATCCAGTCCTGCAACACACAGTCGTTTTTGTGACGCTGTTCTTTTTTTTATAGTTCTAAAAAGACTTGCCTTATTTTGAAGACATTTATCAAGCAATGTTCTCTATTAGTTTCTAATAACGTAATGTAATGATATAGTCTGCAGTTGATTGAACAAAGCAATTTGCAGCTAAGCAATTTGAAGATGTCAACTGTAACTCTTTGGAAACTGTGCAGGACAATTTTCATGATTTTCTGACATCTAAGAACAAAAATTATATAAATCAATATTTAACGTATTACTTGATAATTAAAATAATCAGTACTTGCTACAGCCCTATTCATACTTGGATGTTTTATTTCTAATATTAAATTATCTAAATGGGGTGGGCAAAATAACAAAAAATACTCATTATAGCACAGTATAAATTAACCGCACCAAAATCCTCTAAAATGATCAT